TATTCTGTATTTGCCTTAAATAGAACAGAACATCTTGTTTCTATGATATCGCAATTTTTATTGATGTACGATTGTGAAATATTGCTCTAAATGCCCTTATTAATCATCACAATTTAACCATCCTTGATGATGACAAAACCTTGTCGAAACGTTGTACATTTGCTGTTATGTTAAACTTATATTAAAGTTTTTCTTCATTACCCATTCAAGCCGTCTCCAGCCATTATCATACCCAACAGGTTTTGTGCCTGAGAGAATGACACGATGGTTGAGAATGTGCTTTTACCTGTCAGCAGTCAGGGTGACATCAATTTCCTGTTAATCCCCAAAACGATTGGCCCAGGCTTCAAACAATTGGATGAATAAAAACTGTAGGAGGACACTCTTTGTAAATGGATGCAAGTAGTTTAGCAACAATCAATGGTAGTTTGTTGAGTACCAAGGCCATTGTACAGTGAAACCCATAAATATGTGGGCTACATTTCACCAGGCTTCAAACAATTGGATGAATAAAAACTGTAGGAGGACACTCTTTGTAAATGGATGCAAGTAGTTTAGCAACAATCAATGGTAGTTTGTTGAGTACCAAGGCCATTGTACAGTGAAACCCATAAATATGTGGGCTACATTTCATGTTCATTTTACCCTTTTGGTTTGTTTATTTCTCTTAAGAAGTAGTTGTTAAACAACTGCACATCCATTGATACCATTTCGTGCTAATATTTATCTTACCATTCCGGAATTAACATTTACACCTGTACGAAAACTATGTAGTTGACAAGATCTCTGCTAGATTGTAGTGTATCACGTAAAGATCGTACTCTGAATTACATAACATCACCTTCCAATATTTTGGGCTTTTTACCTCGACCGTTTGTAATATCAACAGCATTAGTTTAGTTTTATATACTCCCTTCAGAGTTTAAGCAAAACTCTTATTGAAACATTAGTTTTCACCACAATCTGTCGCTTGGAGTAATCTTCACCAGCCAAAACTTTGATTTCTGCTCATATTTTCTGGTACACGGATTTCCCACGGAGCAATATTAGGGTCCATTTAACAGGAGGTTCGACAAATACTATGTCGCACAATACGATGTTCTTTACTTTCTGAACTCTGACTGTGTTTGTCAAGAAGAAAGAGTCAATATACAAAATGTAGTAGACAAAAATTGTTACTGACAAAACGGGTGAAGACAAACACAATATGCAACAAGGATTTGTAATGGACTTGTGGAAATGGCAAGAGAGAAATAGAATGCGAAAAAATTTTATTGGTTCTCTTTCACCAGCTCAGTATTTGCGAAATGAAAATGTTAAACTAGAATAAGAACAGCTCCACAGTTAAAATAAATCAAACAAACGTTAAACTAAAACCAAAGATATCTAAAAGTTGCAAACAATATCTCCAGAAGCCTTATGTTTCTAAAATCTACAATCTTAAAACTCTTACCAAATTCTGCCTAAGATTAGCGATCCTGGCTTTAGATACAAAAACAAAGCCAGGTTGCTCACAGCAGGTACCTCATACACACGTGACTTGGGACCATACATGTTTCAGCTTAGGAATCGGGAATCCCTAGGCTATTACACGATTCATAGACAGAAAGCTAGCTGTCCATTTCAGGAAATCACGAGTGAAGTTACAACTATTTTGTTCCTGCAAGAGAACAAGCTTAATAACCAACCAGTCGTAGTCGTATAAGCAGCTAATCCTGGGAGAAGTTATAGTGATTACTTGAACGATTCTGTGTATCCAAACTGAACTGAAAGTAAAACAGAAATTTCAAAATAGCTACATACTAACTAAAGGGTAGCAATCACACAGTTCAGTCCTTTGCCACAGTCACGTGGTATTTCTGTCTTTGGAGCCACAACTGCTGGAATAATATGAGTATCTACACTTTTATGGGGATTATTCTGGTCTAAAACAGTCTAATTGGTTAGATGTGAGCCAATCATACTGTAAACTGTCAAAATATGACTGTAATCTGGTGCTCATTTTCATAAAATAGAATGGGAGTGATATTATAATATTGGAATTATATACCAATTTCATTCACTGGTTCCATAACTATTTCAATTTCTATACATACATACATATTTTCTCTGTATCCGCTGCATATTTTAAAACTATCTTCTACGTTACATGAACTGTGGCAACGTAGCGAAGCTACAAAATCGTTTTGATATAACATACTCAACCTCCGTATTAAATCAAAACTTCTAAGTTCAATACAGTAGCTTACAGACTATGAATGTGCAAGAGATTCATTACACAAATAAGCTGTATAGTTGTGATGCAAGTATTGCCATTGCAATGGAAAAAATATATTCCACTAAAAATCAATGATGGCTTTGATGATCATTCTTGTCATGCCAGGCGTACTTCACTGTAAATATTGTATCTTAAATGGAGTGTGATGCCATACTCCTCTCTGCCACTGAAAAAAAACTATCCTTGCTTGTTGTCATATTATTATAACTAATCATTTCTGTAACATTTATTAATTTCTATTATTAAAAATTTTGTAAACCCTAATTACAAGCTGCTGCTTCATATAAGGACACGTGCTTCTGTTCATGTGCATAAGATGCTTGTTTGAAAAAGCAACACTTCGCCAACGAAACAGCTAATGGTCGCCTTACAACCAGCAGGCCCGGCATGGCCAGGTGGTTATGGCACTCGACTCGCAGTCTGAGGGTCGCGAGTTCGAATCCCAGTCCCACCAAACATGATCGCCCTTTCAGCCGTAGGGGCGTTATAATGTGACGGTCAATCCCACTATTCGTTGATAAAAGAGTAGCCCAAGAGATGGCGGTGGGTGGTGATGACTAGCTGCCTTCCCTCTAGTCTTACATTGCTAAATTAGGGACGGCTAGCGCAGATAGCCCTCGTGTAGCTTTGCGCCAAATTCAAAACAAACAAAACTACAACCAGCAAGGATGATTGCTCTGACGTTTGTGTGTGAAAGTCATGCTCCCTTCATTTAGCATAAGCTTGTTTAGTACTGGCTAACTGGAGTAGTGACGCTATCGCTATTCTGTTACGTAGCATATTTAGTTTAATGAAAAAATTACATATAATACAGTTTAATGCAATGTTACATATAAAAACATCCATCACATCTATCAACGGAACTGGTTTGTATTCTTGTCAATTCTTAGTCAGATTTAATGTATTTAATATATTTCTATGTATTTATGACGTTTATATACTATGCATATATAGTTACACATGAAAGAAAAACTATAGCTTGTACTGTACAGTTGCACCATATTGGGGCCTTTGATTCGTGCATCATAATTAGAATATCAGAATGAGAATTGCCACCTCGAATATACCAGTCAACAGTGATGTTGATGAAAAAAACGTACTATAATTGTCGAGAATTGGTGTGTTTTTAAGCTAGCCAATTGTATAAGTTTTATCGTTATTAACAGGTTGTATAGATTGCTAGATAAGGTATTTGAAGAGTTCGAAATGTTATTCACCGTTATAATTAATGTCTGTAAACAGACATTAAAAAAACAAGAAGGCTTTCTTGAACATGACTCTTACCTTAAGATGACCTGATACTATGGGTCGAAACGTTGTAATAATTAAAATCAGAACTTGCATACTGTAAACGTTGCTAATATTGTGCTTTTGAATTAAAGATTGTGACTGTTCACATCCTATGTCCAGTTTATTTCTTTTGAATAAGACTCAGTCAAAAGCAGAGAAAATCCAGGCACTGATCCGTAATACGGCATCTGAAGAATACTCCCATTTCTGCAGTTCCTGCAAGCTACCATAAGGGAAATTGGGGCATACTGAGAACACCACACTGCCTTTAACTAAACAGAGGGATTTGATGTCACAGTAAAAAGCGAGAAACGTGTCCATTGGCATATCGCAGCTCGAACGTTGGATATTCTAAAGTGCAGCCAGGCACTCTAGTTACTACGCCACGCCTAGCCCATGTAGGTTTTCAATCATACTTTGACATTTTTAGTTACGTCCTGGATGATACATTTCAAAGCCGCAGAGAAACATTCATCCAACACTGTTAGTCAATCATTGTATATACCCTGAGTCAAAGAGTCCACAGTTCACGTCGCACAACCGCAAAAACGCGCTCCGCACTTTGTTGGCATGGGTACATTATACGAATGATTGTCAGATCCCACTATTCGATTAGAGTAACCCAAGAGTCGGCGGTGGGTGCTGTTGAATAGCTGCATTTCCTGTACACTATCGTTTCAAAATTAAGGACGGTTAATGCAGACAGCATTTTGTAGCATTCCGCGAATATCTGAAACAAACAAATCATTTACGCATTTTATAAGATAATATATAATCGATAAAACACGTAATCAATAGCCAATAATTTAGGCTACCTTTTCCCTCACTTTTGGTTTGTTTTCTTCTTCTTTTTTTATCATTGAGTTCTTGTTACTTTAGTCTACAACGAACTTCAAAAGTGTTGAATTTTTCCAAGTACTTAAAAGTGATATATTTATCATTCAGGTGTAAACTGATATCAAGACACTTTATGCAGTTGTATTGAGTTTGGAAATTCTTGTCCTCCAGTGGTACAGCGGTAAAAATCCAGGGTTCGATTCTCCGCGGTGGACAGGGTGCAGATAACCCATTGTATAACTTTGCACTAAGATAATATTTGATTTTCTCGATATTTTTAAACCATATATTCGTGTATTTGACTACACATTTCTGATATGAAATGTTAGCCATACAATTTAATCGAATCGCCCGGATTGCAGAGGACAAACAAATACATGTGTTTGATGGATTTTTTTATTATAATTTTTTTAATTTTGTGACAGTAACAACTCTTTTCAAAGCTGGCAAAGCAACAATCAACCGAAATCGTATATATACTGCCAAGCGCATGCGTGTTAATAGTGCCAGCTGACAATCATCATTTGTGTCTCGTAGCAACTATACGTCACCAGATCAAACAAACGCTCAGGATTACAGTGGTAACAAGGTATAGAAGGTCTACCGGGTACAAGTCGGAGACAGTCACTAGCGTGTTGTCTAGACTACGGGATAGTTTATGTAGGAAGGGTGTGCCTATATGAGCTAAATTTTCAGGATTCAAATACGCGACGCATAAGGAAAACGTCGAATTCATGGATTCACAGAGCGGCGTCAGGATAACTATTACAGTATCGTCAATGAACTAGTGAGTTTATCGTGTATAAAATAGTATGATTTTTTTTATAAAAAAAACGTGTTTCTGCTATCATTATTAACAAAGCATTGTAAAGTCCTGATAACTTTGGCATGAATGAAGATGATAGCAAATGTAAATCGTCTTTGGAAGCTTATTTGGTAGCAGAGAGAAATCTTAGAGAAACCGTGACGAAAAATCTGTAGCATATCAGGAACTGATGCAGGAAGGTAGGTGGATATCCTCAAGTAACAACATAAACTCTCCACCTGTTTTTCTTTGCACAGCTACGCGGTTCAGCATAGAAACACCCTTTACACTGGAATGGTGTGTTAATATAAAATACAAGGAAGGCATATATTAGAAACTAGAGTAATGTTAAGGATATTAAGGGAAGTTACAATATTATATCGATATTATTAAAATGTAGACAACAATATTTAACTTATAGTGTTGAACAGTTTAGGGGTGATACACAACAATCATTATACAAATTAAAATGCCCCCCCCCCCCCCTCCAGTGGCACATCGGTATGTCTGCGGATTTATACTGCTAGAAACCGAGTTTCGATAACTTTTGTGGGTAGAACACAAATAGCCCTTTGTGTAGCTTTGTGCCTAATAACAAACAACAACATATAAAAATATTATGTGTACTACATATAATGTACTGTACAAGTAACAGAGTTATTAAAAATAACAATACTTTATATCAGAAGAAATAGTGTTAGGAAAAAAATATAGCTACAAACTATGTAGGGGGGCTAGTGAGCTTGAAAAAAGGAATCAAACAATATAAGGATGAAAGTGAGCATATCATTTGATCCGGCTATGATCACATAACAGACTAAGACGTTAGACGGAGAATAAAATCTCTACATTATTGGTTTCCCCACTCTGTCTATCAAAAGATCGGTGTTTTAATAAAATCCCAGCTTTCATCATTATATCTTTCCTTTTATGACTATTTTACAATAGAGTAACATTTTACGATTGGAAATTCTGGTTATATTTGTTTTGCCAGTGAGTAAGCCAGTAATGTAGGGATTTTCTTCTCCATGTAAATTCGAGACGGCTTAGTTTACTACGTGATCATTAGCCGGATCAACTGATATGACCACTTCCATCCCTATTTTGTTTGGTTTATTTTTTCAAGTTCAGTAGCCAGCCCTACATAGTTTTATTATTTAGCTATAATTTTTTTCCTAATGCTTCTTTGTCTACTTTTTTATAAGATGACATATGTGGGTTACTATGTTATAGAGTGTATTCTAAAGCTTTATACATTTTGCATAGAATAATAATAAAATAGGTAATCAGATATCGTGAAGACTGTTTTGCTCTATCAAATGATGATAAAATTATAGTCACTGCTAGAACTAGGTAGGTGCTAGGTCTGTTGAAGAAAAATGATGATGTTCGTAAGTTGCGAGGTGAAAATATTTTTCATACAATATTTTCATTCACAACTTATGACTGGTTGGTAATATACGCCTATAACTAATCACAACTAAAAAATTATATTAAAACATTTTGTGCTGAAATTTTGACATCTATAAGGTTTATAGTTATTATTTTATAGTTAAAAGAGAGAAGAAAAAAAGGGATAATTTAGATTTAACGGTAACACTTCCTTGTTGGGAGTATACGGTACCCTGAAACAAAGTGTCACAGAAAAAACTGATACCACAGTTTGACTTCACTACATACAGGGAAATGTTTAGGAAGGTTTTCTCTAAACGGCGAGACCCCTAAGATACAGACACAGTCATCTCTAATTTAGGTTTTGTTTGTTTGTTCAATAGTTTTTCTGCACAGCTTCACAGAAGCCTACTTGCAAGAGGCCATTTTTAATTTTGAGCCGACAGACTAGAGAAAAGGCGGCTAGTCTACAGCGCCAGCAGCCAACTCTTTAACTATTCTTGTCTGAGCGAACAATGGGATTTGACCGTAAATTTTAAAGTACATTACATACACGGCCTTAAAATGCGGAGAGTATTTTTGTGGCAACTGGGTGCAAATCGTATATACACAAATTCACAATCCAAGCACAATAACCACTATATAACGCTCGACCTCCCATAATTTAGAAATGCTGACCGGAATAAGGACAACCAGTTAGTAGCACTTACTTTAAACCAAATAGTAGAGTTGACTGTCACAATTACAACATCCCACAGCTAAAAGTGCTGAGCGTCCTCAGTAATATATCGCGGCTCGAATCTTGGATCTTCAGATATGTAACTCGTCACGTTAACCCGTAGGCAATACCTAGCCCGTAAGGGGATTCTAGCAAAGTCAGAAACGTCGAAAATAGCAAGAGAAAAACAGAAATGTTAATGTTGCCACAATATTACTGAGTGATCCCAACTTTACTTTAAAATATCTACTTGTTAGATTAAAACTGTTTAATTCAGGGCAGTTCATGTTATGGTAGGTCAGCATGTATTTCTATATTGATTACTTAATAATGTGGCCCAGCGGTAAGTCTGAGAGCTTATAACACTAAAAATCTGGTTTGAATACCCGGGGTGGGCAGAGCACAGATAGCCCATTGTGTAACTTTGCGCATAGACACAAAGGAATATGATTATTAGGAATTTATTAAAAATAAGAATAAAGACTCAGCGTACAATTTACGTTTCTGGAACAGAGACAAACTGAAAAGTCTTGGTAATATTCCCAATCATCCACTTCATAATGTTTACATTGTAGATCAACAGTATTAATTAAGTCATATATTCTAGTAGATATGCCAAATGGACCACGTTTCGCTTTCATAATTCCCTGAACTTGTTGAGGCACACACTCCAAAAGCTCTTAGAGTGTATTTGTTACAGCCTATTCGTTGAGGAGTGGGCCTGGCATGGCCTGGTGGTTAGGGCACTCGATTTACAATCTGCGATTCGCGGGTTCGAATCCCCGTCACCGAACATGCTCACCCATTCAGCCATGGGGATATTATAATGTGACGGTCCATCCCGCTATTCATTGGTGACAGAGTTGCCCAAGAGTCTATCAGTGCTAAGTTAGGGACGGCTAGCGCAGATAGCCTTCGAGTTTTAAAGGACACAACCTCTGCCGAGTGAACAAAATAAGCTTATCAACTGCTTCCTGTGGTTTCTCCATACTTTTACCACAATGTAAATACACAAATGAGCGAAACGTGATTCATCGAACCTCGTGAAATGCTTTCAGTTTACCCACAGTTTACGTGCTAAGCCTATTTTAAACCCCGTTTTCTTGTTTACATCCGACACAAGTTGTTTACAGTTTGACTTTTGTAATGACGTTCATACGGTTCAGTTGGACCTCGTGGAATCAGTTAATTGCGTCACACGCTGACGTCTGTTACATTTTACACACCTGCAATCTCAATAGTCTCTTTGTATGTTCTGTCACTACTGATTGCTCTGGGGACCTCAGCCTCAGTTTGTCCTAGAAGCAGATATGTCCCTTTTAGATTACCGCTGTTGGTGTCTTTAAACAACTGATCAGTTTTGAACATAACGCGTTTTTCATATACAGGCATCTACTATTAACTATACACGCAGATTAATGGTGATTTTTCTTCAGGCTTCTTCTTCTTTGCTTTTATAGAACTCAAGAAAACACCGATTTATCACAGACTGTTTCACACATGCTCACGAATGAAGCTTTCTCCAAACATTTGGGCGTGTTTTTATGAGGAGGGGTTCTAAACAAAGTGACCATACGTTTAAAGTGTTGCACGCTTCATATAGGCACCAAATTCCACGCCTTCTGGTGATCTAAGTTGTTTTAGCATAACAGATCTTGCATTTACACCATTATTCGTTAGTTTATGTGTCCTAATATTCTTTTGCAACTGATCTTTCAAGTACAATGTATGCTCCAAATCCGACGAGATTAAATATTGATTTGAGTACATGGAAGTATGAAGTTTTGGTGTGTGTATCCATCTCACAAATACGAAGAAACTCAAAGCAAAGTTTATTTTAAATAAGACCCGTACAATTGCTTTTCATGAGTTCTAGTCGCCATTGTTGTCACTTACGAATGTTCAGAATATTCAGAAGTTAAAATACGTGTAAGATCGCCGAAAGTTTTTGCAATTAAGGCGACACATCATTACTACCTCTTCTGCTGAGCTTGTGCGATTGAACATTAGTTGTTATCTCCAGAACAAAGAAGATATTAAAATAGTAAAGTTTGATAAAACGATTTTGATACATGATTTAAAGTTTGATTCCAGACTTTTTCTCGTCTGTAGATCCAGGTGACAGTTTTATGTATCTTAAGTTACTGATGTGAAATGGGATATCTCAAAGATATCTCTTCTTTTTTTTTAGATTTTGAGAATTGCAAGGAAATTTACCGATTCCAAATAATGTTTTCACTTGAATGTAAGAACTCATAGATAAGGTACTCAGATTTTTGTGATTTTCTTGAGAATTTGAATAATTTTCGTGGTTCGTAGTCTATAAGAACTTAAGTCTACTTGTTAGTTAGTTACTTTTTATTAACTGCTAATTACTAAGTATTTTCTATCCTAAGTTTCGATTGATAATCAGCTGCCTGTCCTTGGAGAAGGCCTGAGAAGTACCATTTCTGTGGCAGCAATAGCCAGTATCCGAACCTGGATCTTCTGCTATCCACTCCCCTGAGGTCTCTCCATTGGGACTTTAATTTATCTGAATATTTTAAAGAAGGGTATCCAAGTTTTGCTGGCTTCTATACTTTCAACATAAAAATAGATACTGCCAACAACAAAAAAGCCTAGATATGGGCTCACCCCTATCACCAGTATTCAGTAACTCCTATTAGAAACATTTGGAAGATAACGCCCTCAAATCAGGTGCTCTAAGTCTAGGATTTGTCTCAGGTATGTTGACGATACATTTGTAATACTATCACGCAACTAAAGACAAGATTCAAGAATTCGTGAACTATTTGAACCTAACATTCAGCGACACAATTCACTATGGCAATTTAATAAAATAAACTCCATTGCTAAACAAGATTGTTAACGACATACATAACTCCTATACTACAGGCGTTTACAGGAAACCCACACATAAGAGTAAGCATCTCGGTTATAAATCAAACTTCCTGAACAAGGTAAAGAAGGGCGTCATAGACTGCCTAGTTTCAAAATTAAAGAAGATTTGTAATACTGAAGATGCAAAAAAACGAGGAAGAGAAACACACTGGATACCTGGAACAATTGAAAAAGAGGAAAATAAAGACG